TAATTTGTTTAAAGTGACTTAATAAAAACAAGTGAAGGGTCTTAACTTATTCCATATAAGTATCGAGACCATTAAGCTCATTAAATTGTAAATATATAAAGTTGTATTGTTTTCGTCTATCTAGGAACTAAACCATATATAAAGTTGTATTGTTAACCAAATACATTATGAAATAAATATATGTTAATCACTATATTAAATTCTAATCATAAATAAATAAAAATCATATAAAATAACATATGATGCACTGATTATCAAAAATCTCATAACTTAAAAAATAAGGTTCCACCGTAACATTGAAGTTAACATGTCAACTAATATATGGAGTTGTCACATTAAAGAATTGTAACGACATGCAACTTCAAATATAGTTTTCAGGAAAAGTGATGGAAGAAAAAAACAAATGATATATATATATATATATATATATATCTATATATATATATATATATATATATAGAGAGAGAGAGAGAGAGAGAGAGGAAGTTTACTTTGTAAACCACGTTATTTGTACAAACCGTACAAATCTTATTCAATCAATCATAATTTTTCATTTTGTTCATTTTTTTATAATTACGAGAGGTTGCTTTTTCATTGTAGAGGATGTTAATCATGAATATTATCATCTTCATTATATTAATTTTAGAGAAATACATGAAACAATTTCATTAAAATTTCATAAGTATTATATAAAATAATTTCATAACCATATATGAAACAACTTCATCAAAAAAAATATTATATGAAACAATTTCATGAAATAGTTTCATAAGATTAAATAATGAAATCGACGGATGAGGGTGGTTTGCACAGTTTGTATAAATATGAGTGGTTTGCATTTGATCGCTCCTTTATATAGAGGGGATTTACTTTGCAAACCACGTTATTTGTACAAACCGTACAAACCTCATTCAACCAATCATATTTTTTTCATTTTTTTCATTTTTTTCATTTTTTTGTAATTATGAGATGTTGATTAATCATTTTTATTATGGAGGATGTTAATCATGGATATTATCATCTTCATTATTTTAATTTTAGAAAAATAAATGAAACAATTTCATTAAAAATGTCATAAGTATTATATGAAACAATTTCATGAAAAAATTTCATAAAATTAAACAATAAAATCGACGGATGAGGGTGGTTTGCATGGTTTGTACAAATTGAGTAGTTTGCATTTGATCACTTTTTCTTTCTCTCTCTCTCTCATCGGGATATCTATATATATATATATATATATATATATATATATATATATCCCGATGATTCATGAATGGTTAGAAAATGACCCAATTAATCTGGAATAGTGCCTTATCATTATTGAAATTAGTTGGATATCTTTATCGTCTTAACATGATCAGAAAGGATGAAAGAGATCTTGAAAAAGAAAACATTGATGATCGTGATCAGTATACAGCTCAACACATAAAGTATTGTATTTAATTTTGATTAATAGTTAAGACGTCTTAAAACTTTTTTACTTTTTCATCAATGCACTAAAAAAACCAATCTATATAATTTATCTGAAATAGTTTTTGATTTTTTGTGGTAATCATGTGGTTCCGAGGCAACTTATGCGTACCAACAAATTCCTCAAACAACCACAAACGGTCTGAAGTCATCGTAGGTGAACCTCCATGATCACAAACATTTTAACAGCCTCCTAATTCAAACCTAAGAATAAATGAGATTTTCCACTACATCCCTTCAGACTTAACCGTATACCATCACCCAAGTGCTTCTTGAAAGGAACTTTAGTTACATCTTAGAATGGTTTTGACCAAACTTTTAGTCCTTGTTTGTTTTTTTGGAAGGAAAAAACTTTTAGCAGTCTGATTCATTAAGAGGTAGGGTTATACAGACTGTTTGTTTTTTTTAATTTTTCAAAATCACTCATGTCTTATTGTCCTCTTATTTCGTAAGAGGTAAACTAACCTCTTATTTGCTTCTTCTTGTTCTTCAAACCTTCAGAAACAGCGTTTCTCAATCGATTAACCTTAATTGATCATTACCAAATCAATCCTCAACTCTCTCAATTGATGTATTTTAATATGATCTAAATGTCTTAAATACCGTCAATGACATATTTCCGTTTAAATGCTAATTATATAATTTATATGTAAATTTCGTAATGATGATGAAAAAATATGTAAAACCATATAAATTTATCTATAAATTCATTACTATAATTTTCTAACGAGTAAAATAGATAATTTAAACAAATTCAGACAATTACCAGTTTAAAAAAACAAACAATCCTATCGATTCAGATTTCAGACTTCAACACCACCTCTTATTAATCAAAAGTGAAATAAGTCTCCAGATGACTATTTTAACTGTTTAAAATGTTGTTATTATTATACTTTAATTTAATTTACTTTTAGTTATAAAAAAATATATTAAAAAAAACCATATTTATAGCCGATTTTCAATCATTTGACAAACGAACTTCATTTACTTGTCTGCCACATGGATCATGTAGACAAAATAAGATAACGAGACTTTAGTTGGTGACATTTTGAGGCTTGTCCTCATGATAAGTTCCAAAGGAATGCAGGTGGAAGGTCCCTTCATCACGTATTTAATAAATGGGGGTTGAAAGGGAATTTTCTGGTACTCATGTTATATGTTCCCCACATTTTGTTTTTTATAACTGTGGATTTTTTGATCAATTTACATGTACAGACTAATTTTAGAGTGACTACAAATGATCTGAAGTCATTGTAAATGAACCTCCATGGTTACAAGGGTTTTGACAATATCTGGATTCAAACCCAGGGTAGATATGATTTTTTCACTACATCCCGGAGGCTTAACAGTGGATCACAACCTTGAGTTCTTGAACAGGAGAGAAAATGTTTTTTACAAATATACTCTTATTTATATTACAACAGGTTGTAATTGATGAATAAATATGTAGTTTTATAAATATTTTTAATTGTGATTATATATTCTTACTTTTTCGTTTCCTTTCCTCCCACATTTGGGTGAAAGTTTTGAGCAAAAAAGCAACATTATTTTTCTTTCTTTTCCATCTATTTCCCTTCTTAAATGCCATAACTTTTGATCCAATCGGAGTTACAGGTCCACAAAATATTCATGGAACTGCTCATGACGTTTTAGAAAAAGATTTGTCTAAGGGACCGTTTACCTAAATGTTTACTCGATAAACGCTTAACATTAGGAGTCAACACTATAGTTTATTCTACCGGGTAAGATTGTAGTACATCAAAATAGTACTGTATGCAACAATTTATCCGGTAAACACTTACCCAAGTAAGAGTCGTCACACTCACTTATCGAGTATGACTCTCCATCTTTATCGTTGCTCTTACCGGGTAAGATTTTTGATCTTTGTCATTTTCATCCGATAAGGAAAATTACCCATTAAACACTTACCGGGTAAGTGTTTAGGAAACGGCCCCTAAGCCACTTCGTTTCTTTTTGTCCAAGTTGCTTCTTTTTTTGTCGACATTTCTAACAGCATTGCCTTGGAACTAAAAAAAAAAGAATCTATTAAAGGGGGAAATGAAAGATATTTTGTTCAATCACAAAAAATTATTTACCGAGATATCCATGAATCGGGATCCTAATGCATATAGATACAAATGATCACGGGTTGATATGCACAACGTCTAGTATCCATCGTTTACGGCCCGACTTTTCGTCCAAAACCCTTTTCTAGCCCGAATCCAACCTTGAAGAATTTTTTGCGACTTTTTCTTTTTATTTATTTCAGTTAAATTACGTAGATTGGTTGAGTTCTAACATTTTTTATTCTGACAACAATCAAATATATTAGTGTTCAAAAAAATTTTAAAAAAATAATCAATTATGTTAAATATTCGTTTTTTGAATTTTGTAAAATTTGGCCGCCTGCTAAAAATAGATTCGCTTGGTACATACGTTCATGACGTTTAGGAATGATGATCTTGTACCCTTTTGGGAAGTTATATAGGTTACTTTTATCATGTAGTAAACGTAATATGATAAACAGTACCCTTTTTTTTCCGGTCGATATAATAAAGTTTTGACCGGTAATATGTTGATCTTGTAATATTTAATAACGTGGATATCAGTCTATGAAAGATTTATGAAAGGGTTACGATAAGGTGGACGATAAACTTAGGGGCCGTTTACTAAACACTTTCTTGGTAAGTACTTATCGGATAAATCTCCTCATCGGATGAATATGAAAAGGGTCAAGAATCTTACCGGGTAAGAGTGGTGAGAATGATGGAGAGTCTTATTCAGTAAGTGAGGATGACGACTCTTACCCAGGTAAGCGTTTACCCACTAAATTGTTGCATTCGATATATTTTGATATACTAAAATCTTACGCATCAAAATAAATCATAGTGTTGATTCATATCGATAAGTGCTTACCGGGTAAGCAATTGGGTAAACGGCCCCTTAATCTCCTCGTCTCAAATGTTCAAGATGCGCACGCTACTAGTAAAAATGGTACCCAAAAAATAGAAACTTAGGGCAGTTTACCAAATGTTTATTTGGTAAACACTTATCAACAAGATTCATGACTCTCACTTACTTTATTGGCTAACATTATCAGCCATCAATGAATTGTTGGTAAGCGTTTTTTAACCGGAAATGCTTACTGGGTAAGAGTCTTTTCCTTCACTTTGGTGTGGTTTCAACCCTGACCTCCAGGAGGCCAAAGGTCCGTATACCGCTAGGACAAAAGCCCTTTAAAAGATCGGATATTTTATTGTCCTCAATACATGCTTCCTTACGGTTTGAGCTCCCAATTAAAGTTAGAATTCAAAAACAAATAAGCATCAAAGTACAGCTTACTTACCGTCGAGAAATCTTGATACAAAATCCACACGATGGAGCTGCAGAAATTCATGGATGGAATGCTGAAAACCAAGAGAAATCGCGTAACAAATGAACGGTGTAAACCAAAAGATCAAAACTCGAACTAGAAAAGCTACCAAAAGAGAAGAGACAACAAGACTCGTATACGAATAAGGCTGCGAAGCTCAAATATGCCTCCCAAGAATCTTTTATATAAATCACATTATCAATAAAGAATACAGACATCTTGATGCGTAAACTTCAACTCGATTCTGTACCTCTCGAAACTGAAGCAACATCCTCGTTTCTAACACATTTTGGAGATTCAAAAACCGTCTACGTGATCATGTATTTGAACCCCTGCAGCCATGCATAACTGTGGTATGCAACTATGCATGTGTGATTGTCGTTCCAAAGAATGTGCGTGTGTATACGATTGTTTCTGATGGATGCTGTTCTTGAGAAACAGAAAACACAATTATTATTCAAAAATACGATTGTGGCAAGTTTTATCACAGGGGTAAGGGCAGTCTATCTCTTGAAATGGACTCCGCTCATAAAACCAGTCGCCAATTGCTTCTCCGATTGTCTGCGGTAAATTACATGGTTCCATTAGTTCCAAGGGGCAAGGACACATGGGTCAACGTTTTAAAGGAACATGGAAATAAGAAAAAGAACATATTGGCCCACTTTACGGGTCCTTTGAAATGACCTTCTCTCAGGTTTCTTTTTTAAATCCATGACCTTTTATCAGGTTTGAGAATGTCACTTCTTAAGGGAAGAATGTCACTTCAATACACAAGATTGCCTAAAAACATGTCAAAAGGTTATGGATTTAAAAAACACATGTCAGTAGGTCATTTAGCTAAATAACCCCATACTTTACCTTGTTATTCAACATGGGGGAGTCACTCATCAACCATGTCTCTTGCATTTCGGTTTGGCAGTGAGCATAGCAAGAGTTGATGAACATTCCCCTTGATGAAAAGCTGCTAAAAAATCCATCCAATGCACTTAAGAACTCCAACCTGAAATCTGCGAAAGTAAACCACAACAACATCAATTTTCAAGATTCACTTATGTTTTGAGATGCAACTCCCAACCTTCATGAGGGATTTTTATTCACTTGAGGGAATATAGTTTTCCATCGTGACGTAGATTAGGCACAGAGGAATCCAATAATATAAGGCCTTTTTAGGGATTATTTAGTTAAATGACCTCCCAACAAGTGCTTTTCAAATCCATGACCTTCTAACAGGTTATCGTGTATGGAAGTGGCAATCTTTTGTTAAGCTGTACCATTCTCAAACTTGTCAGAAGGTCATGGATTTTATAAAAGAAATTGTCAGAAGGTCATTTAACCAAAGGACCCAGTCTATAGGCATCTCACCAAGATTTGGAGTCCATTTTCTATAAACAGAGTGTGGGACAAAAGTGAAAGGGTCTACAAAGAATGACCGGAGCTTGATGTGAAGCATAATGAGGCCTGAAGCTAATGGAAAAGGTTACGCTGATGTGTGACCTTGCATGATATCAATTTGATTAGATGAACACTTCTCGATATCAAGTTTGCAGTTATGCCAGGTACCATGGATATCAGCAACCCCGGGAGCCAATACATTCTTTATCTATAGAAATGTAAAAAACAATTTGTATCAAGGGAAGATGGAAAAGGGTGTTTGAAAGAAACTATAGAGGAGGATAACGACTGTTAATTGGGTAAGTTTTCTGTATGAATCACTATTTGTATGATGTTTTGAACACTAAAAACCGATCTATGCAACCCTGAACTGCAAAATATTGTGAACTGTTCGTCTAACCTGCCATGAATCATAGGCTGCGTTTGTTAAAAAGACCGGTGCTTGGATTTCTTGGATCATGTTTTCGGGGAAAAAGCACTGCAAAAACCGCAATTTTTTTAAAAATTCAGGAGTGAAGTACAATTGTTGGGCAAATTATCAACACCTTATTGCTTACTAAACTATTTTTCATCTTGGAAGTGCAAGAGTGATGCAAATTTTTGGCCGATCCCTACAACAGAAGCAAAGAAACAGATCAAAAACCACAAACATCAATAGATCTAACAGTTAAGAGGTTACGATGATCTGCAAGAACAAAGGAAACGAATGGAACAAATAAGCATAAAATGATGTTAAAAGGTGAAATAATTATGATTAAAAGATGTTTTAAGTGAATTTCTATTTCTATAAAGAAGATATTTAGGTATATAATAAGATTTTATAAAGGGGGTAAGAGAGTACATGTGTCTTGACCACATCATCATAGAAGGCCTCAATGTGTCTCGTTCCAGAAAGATCCCGCCTGTTTATGAAAACTGTAGGTTACGCGGCTATGCTGATAAGAAGAAAAATTTTGTAAAGGAAAAGGGTTTGGGATGATGGGTCCTCTGGTTAAATGACCCTCTGACAGAATTTTTATAAATCCATAACCTTGTTTAGCAGAAGAATGCAACTTTCATACACAGGAATGCCTAAAAACCAGTTAGAAGGGCATGGATTTAAAAAACCACTTATCATGAGGTCATTTCTCTAAATAACCCTTGGGACGATATCTTACGTATTAATGAAATAACCGGCATCAGAAAGGCATTTCACCATAGTACTTGGAGGCAAGAGTGCTTTAAAGTTATCACAGTGTAATATGGAAGTCAATCCACCAGCTGAACAGCCAGAGAGAATGGCCTATCATAAAGTTCTACAAATTATCAAGCAAACAAGTAATATGAGGATGCAACAAGGGAAGTAACAAAGGAATCATGGATCATACATTTTCAGCATAACTCATTCCTTTTGCCAACAAATCCTCAATGACAGCATGAAAGATCCTTGCTCCTCTAAAGTGAAGATTAGTTTTCTAAAGTTATTAGAAAGAAAAGGAAGATAGTCAACAATTGTTGCTAACTATATAGAAAGTCAAGAGAATGGTATACAAAAACAAATGGTACTACTGATTCTGCTTTCAGATTTCAGCACCACTTCTTATAAATAAGAAGTGAAATAAGACTTTAAATTCAACACCTCTTAAAAAACAAACGGCACCCAGATGAATCAAGGGCTGCTTTGGCGCACTAGGATTCCTTTGAAGAAAGGAGTACTAAGTTACTTGATGTGTGAAAAGTTTCTACCCTTTACCATACTTGAATTATTTATATACAAAGATATAAGTTTCTTAAGTTGATTCAGAATAGAAGCTTTTAAAGATGTATAGCCACTGCTTGTTTTGATTTTCAAGCACCATAGTACTACTTACTGAATTGACTTTTTCCACATCACCGGTAAAGGATGCACCATCACAATATCTGACCTTGATTCTATTCCAATTATAGAAATCTGAAAGAAAATAGAAACAAGTAAATGATGGAAACATTCGGAACTATTATTCTCACTAAAGATGAAGCGAAATTCTAACCAGGGTTATATTGTGGCTCATTATGTAAAATCCCTGAGAACGCAACTTGTTTCACCATTTTCTTGGAGGAGCCTAGACGGGTGGAACTACGGGCAAGGCAAGTAGTGACATTGTTGCACCATCCTCCTCCCTTGTATTCATTCACAAAATAGAACCTACGTCAGTTCTAGATGCAACATAAAGGTAGCGTCATTTGGTTAAATGACCTTCTCACAGGTTATTGTCAAATCCATGACCTTCTAAAAGATTTGAGAATGTCGCTGCTTAAAAGAATGTCAATTCCATACACAAGAGTGGTTAAAAACATGTCCAAAGGTCATGGATTTAAAAAGCAGGAGCTCATTTAGCTAAATAACCCCGTAAAGAGGTATAATATGTAAATGGAAGTAGCAAAGATAACCGTTTCAATTGTTTAAAATCATTATTTCTTCAGCATAATGTCAAATTGTCCGTCAATTCATGAGAGATCTACACACTTATACTATAAAATGAAGAGACGCATATATAAAACATTGGACACATGGAATTAACATAATGATCTATCCTAAACTTCGCAAAATAGGAAATGAGAGACGAACCTCAATGTGTACTAACCAGTTGTTGATTCCTGCACCAGATCCCATGTCCCAATGATATGCAGGCGGGCTGCCATCCAAACAAACTGCAGACATTCACAATTATTTTCACAAAACATATCAAAATGATATACATATTAAGTTCAGCAGTTCCATATTTTCCCAATAGAGAAAGGGGAGACTGGGTTTCAGTTAGTTTACCAGCTCCTTTTCCCACTGCACTTCTAAGATAAGTAATATCGACATAGAAACCATCAATATTCAGCATGCTCAGTACACCCACCAGCATTACACATAACCATCGACATGCCTTTTTAATCACCATGCTGCCAATCGATTGAACACACGAAGTTTAAACATCTTATCACTCCAAGTATTAAATCTACTAAAATAGAATATACTGATATAATAAAGAAAATCAGATCATACACATACAAGTATAACCCGGGTAGTTCATATTTATAGGAACTTTTTTTACTTTGGCGGTGGAACTAGTAACTTTTTTTTGGATCCAAAATAAATGATCTCATTTCTTGTTGAATTAAATAACAAAGGTGTTCATTGAGTACAGCAACCGATAGAAAAGACATAAATTAAACTGTATTGAACTGATAGAGTTTAAAACCTAGTTTGCTGCCAACTACATTCATCATCTTGTATCTTCCTCTCCCTAATTTATAACTGATGGAGCAAAGAACTCGTGGAGAGATCCGAATGCAACCTTTGTTTTTTCATATATCTGAATTAATCTATATTCTGATCTTAAAAGAACTCGTTAACTAGACAATCCGAAACGTATATAAAACATGAATACAGATTCATAGGTTGCACATTACCAATAAATCTCAAATTCAACCTGTTTTCTTTCTAATGAAATCAATAAAGAGCTGATTTACATGAACAGAGAGCGAATAATGATTTAATCAACAATTCAACGAAGCAAGCAGTGGAAACAAGCAGATTTACATGAATTACCGGCACAAACGTGGTTGAATTAGTACCTGTGAGAGACGATAATATCTGTAGCTGCTGTGAAGCTGTGATCTGAAGAAACCGAACGTAATTCGCGAAGAAAACCCTTTTGTGACTTGGAAAGCTAGTTGTGACTTGTGAATTGTGAAAGAAGGGTGGTAGCAGCAATGGCAGAGTATTTATAGTGTTCATTTTGGTTGCTCCCTCTCTAAAACCAAAATCGATTATACTATTAAATTTGAAAAGTAAACTACGTTTTTAGTCCTTATAGTTTGTTGTAAATTACTATTTTCATCCTTATATTTTTTAAATTATGGTTTTAGTCCCTGTTTTACGTTTTTGGTCCTTGTAGTCTATTGAAAATGGATATTTTTGTTTACATGTTTTTAAAATTAAGATTTTTAGGCCTACAAATTTGAAATTTATGGACAAATTGACTGAAAAAGTAATGTATTTTAACTTTATTTTTATTTTGGGTAACGTACTTTCAAAACTTTCATTTTAGTAACTAAGATGTAAAGTTTTAAACATTTAACTACTTGGATAACCGGTTGAAGCATTAACTGGTTACCATGTTGTCGTGTCGAGTGATGTGATGAAATTGGGTTGAATAATAAATAATATTGAGTTGGATACCACATCACTCGCTACATCAGCATTGTAACTGGTTAATGCTTCAACCTGTTATCCGAGTACTTAAATGTTTAAAACTTTGTATCTTAAGTACTAAAATGAAAAATTTGAAAATATGTTACGCAAAATTAGAATCAAATTAAAATACATTACTTTTTCATATAATTTATCTTGCTCAACTCAATTTTGGGTGCACCAATGAGCCAGAATTATGCTCGGTTGTAAAATACTTTAAGTAATAATAAAGTGCTTAAATAATTATTAAATAAAAAAATTTAAATACACAAGGATTATGTCGGGTAAAAGTGAAAGCCACATTTTATGTAGTTCATCCCTTTTTCACTTTTGTGTTGCAAAGCGTGATTTATCTTACGGTGTGGGCGAAGTATTGGGACACGTGGAGGAGAGTGATTGGAGGTTCAGGCGGAAAGCAATCATGTGCGAATCAAATATAAATTCCCGCATGTTTTATAAAATTGGAAGCGAAGCATAGGATTTCACCACTCACTCACCAATGATTTCCACTTTAATATCACTCCTTATCGAATGTCACTTCTAAAAACTTGAAATTTCTTATAAATGTTTTTTTTATTAACCTGAATATCCAACAAATTATGTAAACCGATTAATTCTAAGGTGACCATCTGTTTTGCAAATAGCCTGGAGTCACCGCATTTGAACATATGTGACCACAAAGGGATTTTTATTCCTCTTTGGATTTGAACCTGAGATCTCCTGATACTTTTAACTTTTAGAGTCAAGCTCAAACCAATAAGACACCATCCTTGTGGTTTTATAAATGTTATATGGTTGTCAAACAAGACAAGAGGTAGTTATTCGTATTTTTTTATAAACAAAAAGTTATTTGTGCAATACAGCGAGATACATCTCGATTTTAATATTTTATTTTATTTTGTCTTCATCAATGTTATAATACGATTTTATGTGGTACTGAAAAAATTGATAATGTTTTTATTTTTTGAATAAAATATAAACTTGAAGGTATTATCAAATTTTGAACAACAAATGTACCATTTTAGTATAAAATTAAATATTTAAAAGTTCTTGTTTTTTTTGTGTAATTTCTTTAATGTAATTGTTTATTATAATTTAATTTAGATTTAATAATAAAGTCACTTATTTTTGGTTTAATAATATAATTTTTTTATAAAGATAAAAATTAGTATTTTGTTAGAATTCAATGAATATCTTAAATATATTTTAGATTTTTTATATTTAAATGAGAAATCTATCCAATATTTGTTTATGTTTATCTACAATTAGTTACACGAATTCAAACATGGAGCTTTAATAAATTGTGCATACGCACAATTTACTTGTAATTTTGAATTTTAAGTAATATGCATTAATAAACAGTACTTAATGTATAAAAAATAATTTTTAAAAGTTTTTGTCAAATGCTTTATAATATAATATAGATTATATATAAATATAAAATATTTCAATTTGATTTTAATGTTTGTAAATCACAGTAATAGTTGTTACATCTGTTACAAAATAAAATGTCTATATTAACAATATACACTTTTAAAAACGTATTTTAATTAATAAAAAGACAATTTTATCCTTAACAATAGAGAAAAAAAGTTCTCAAGGGTAGAATAGAAAAATAAACTTTTACTTTTAAAAGTTGACAATTATTTTAAACAAACAATAATACAGACACTTGTTTTGGGATGAAGAAAGTATATCTTAACTTCTAAGAAATTACTTTTTTTGTTGTCAAGACAATTAGTTGATTCTCCAAAAACAATCCATTTTAATTAAAGTCGATTATTGTTGCTATACTAAGAGTCTAAGAGGCTGTTTGGCAGTTGTTGAATGATTTGGTGCTGAATAATTAAGTGGTCAGAATAATTAAGAGACTCTCATGATATAGTGTATAATGAAATATTATTATTTGGTAATTGTTTAACTTATCGCCGCACTTCCCAATATGCAGCACTTAAACATAACTGGATACCAACTCCTCAGAACTTAGTAAATTCAACTCCATTAACAGGTACTTATAAAGCTTTTTTCCGTTTAC